ACAGAGTATCAATACCCACAACACTCGCTTCTGTCCTGATAAAGGATCATTTGATCAGATTTATAATGAAGATACTGGAACACAAATTCATTTCTAAAGGTATCAGACTGTGAAGAGCATCAGACAGAATTCTGGATATTTTCATAAATTTTCAAATGGATTTGATAAACACATTTACATATATTTATTTTTGTCTGGTACATTTCTATGTGTAATATTTCCCCAAAAAATGTTAAATAAATGCATTTAAAATATATTTGGTTAATATGGCAAAATATTCTGAAATACATTTTAGAGTTTGTACTGTATTTCAGCATCGACTGCAGTGTGTTTTTTCCATACGGGACGAAGAATCAGGGTCTCCTCTGTGTCACTGCCCAACAAAGGGGTGCAAACTCTTCACATCACCACGGAAACTGAGCAGAGCAGGTAATGTAGGGAACCGCCTGTAGCCCACACCGTTCTGAGGAAGTAAAGACAGGCGGTGGTTTGGCGACACTGACTTTTCCTGCAGCCCCCCAGGACGTCAGCTCAGCCTGGCTGAAGATTAGACAGATGGCAGCGCAGGACTCATCAGGCCTTACAGCAGCTCAGGAACGGCAGGTCTTGTCCTTGAAAAGGACCATCTGAGTTTCCTGTCTGCTGTATCTGATCCCCTATTGATGACACTCTTGATCAGCTGGCTGAATTAACTCGAGTCAGTTCCCTTAACCTGAGGGTCTTGGTAGGTGGAGCTTGCGCTGGATGCCAGGTTCAATTCTGAGTGATGGGTCAGAGTGGTGCTGTTTGGACTCTTGGCACACTTCATGAAGAGCCGCTGTTTGGACGGTCAGGAGGTTTTTGCTGCTGTTGGCAGAGAAAGCCCCTAATTTAGCTCGACAAGTTTCAGCTCACTGTCAGTGTCGTATTTGATGCTGTGATGACCAATTTAGCAAATGTACCTGCAGTTTGGGTTTACGTGGCCTGATGGTAGACTCTTTCTCAGGTGTGATGTGATGGTAGATTCTTTCTCAGGTGCAATGTGATGGTAGATTCTTTCTCAGGTGTGATGTGATGGTAGATTCTTTCTCAGGTGTGATGTGATGGTAGATTCTTTCTCAGGTGTAATGTGATGATAGACTCTTTCTCAGGTGTAATGTGATGGTAGATTCTTTCTCAGGTGTAATGTGATGATAGACTCTTTCTCAGGTGCAATGTGATGGTAGATTCTTTCTCAGGTGTGATGTGATGGTAGATTCTTTCTCAGGTGCAATGTGATGGTAGATTCTTTCTCAGGTGTGATGTGATGGTAGATTCTTTCTCAGGTGCAATGTGATGGTAGATTCTTTCTCAGGTGTGATGTGATGGTAGATTCTTTCTCAGGTGTGATGTGATGGTAGATTCTTTCTCAGGTGTAATGTGATGGGAGATTCTTTCTCAGGTGCAATGTGATGATAGACTCTTTCTCAGGTGTAATGTGATGGTAGATTCTTTCTCAGATGTGATGTGATGGTAGACTCTTTCTCAGGTGCAATGTGATGATAGACTCTTTCTCAGATGTGATGTGATGGTAGACTCTTTCTCAGGTGTAATGTGATGGTAGACTCTTTCTCAGGTGTAATGTGATGGGAGATTCTTTCTCAGGTGCAATGTGATGGTAGACTCTTTCTCAGGTGTGATGTGATGGTAGATTCTTTCTCAGGTGTAATGTGATGATAGACTCTTTCTCAGGTGTGATGTGATGGTAGACTCTTTCTCAGGTGTAATGTGATGGTAGATTCTTTCTCAGGTGTAATGTGATGGTAGACTCTTTCTCAGGTGCAATGTGATGATAGACTCTTTCTCAGGTGTAATGTGATGGTAGATTCTTTCTCAGATGTGATGTGATGGTAGACTCTTTCTCAGGTGTAATGTGATGGTAGACTCTTTCTCAGATGTGATGTGATGGTAGACTCTTTCTCAGGTGTGATGTGATAAGAGATTCTTTCTCAGGTGTGATGTGATGGTAGATTCTTTCTCAGGTGCAATGTGATGATAGACTCTTTCTCAGGTGTTATGTGATGGTCGATTCTTTCTCAGGTGTGATGTGATGGTAGACTCTTTCAGGTGTGATGTGATAGGAGATTCTTTCTCAGGTGTAATGTGATGTGATGGTAGACTCTTTCTCAGGTGTGGTGTGATGGTAGACTCTTTCTCAGGTGTAATGTGATGTGATGGTAGACTCTTTCTCAGGTGTGATGTGATGGTAGACTCTTTCTCAGGTGTGGTGTGATGGTAGACTCTTTCTCAGGTGTAATGTGATGTGATGGTAGACTCTTTCTCAGGTGTGATGTGATGGTAGATTCTTTCTCAGGTGTAATGTGATGGTAGACTTTCTCAGGTGTAATGTGATGGTAGACTCTTTCTCAGGTGTAATGTGATGGTAGACTCTCAGGTATAATGTGATGGTAGACTCTCTCAGGTGTAATGTGATGGTAGATTCTTTCTCAGGTGTAATGTGATGGTAGATTCTTTCTCAGGTGTAATGTGATGGTAGACTCTTTCTCAGGTGTAATGTGATGGTAGACTCTTTCTCAGATGTGATGTGATGGTAGACTCTTTCTCAGATGTAATGTGATGGTAGACTCTTTCTCAGGTGCAATGTGATGGTAGACTCTTTCTCAGGTGTGATGTGATGGTAGACTCTTTCTCAGGTGTAATGTGATGGTAGATTCTTTCACAGGTGCATGTGATGGTAGCCTCTTTCTCAGGTGTGATGTGATGGTAGACTCTTTCTCAGGTGTAATGTGATGGTAGATTCTTTCACAGGTATAATGTGATGGTAGATTCTTTCTCAGGTGTGATGTGATGGTAGACTCTTTCACAGGTATAATGTGATGGTAGATTCTTTCTCAGGTGTTTCCGGTCAGCCCTGGTGTTTCGGTTTAGCTTCTCATCTTCATGACAACATAAACATGAAGCCAATCATCGTTAATCTCCATCATCATACTGATTAAATGTCAGAAAATTTGTTTGTCAGAGGGAGGACACAGGCTCATCTCATTCTCGAGCAGAGAAGAACCCAGTTTACAGTTGTAGAAATGCAGGTTTGGTTGGGCTGAGGGCTAATTGGGCTAAACCTTTTGGAGGGATTGCCAGGAGAAAAGTTCTACTGCTGCAGAAGAACAAAAACACAGGAATGAACTGTTTTACACTCCTGACGGACCTTCGTCTGTAGTTCAGTGTGTTTTATCTGTTCTGTAGTTCCGGTTCTGCTCTGTGTGTTGAGAGAGGTGTGATGAATTGTACTGTCAGTGGGATGATGTTAAAGTTCTTCTTCACTCTGTCTTACTCAAACTCAATGAAAATTCACCCAATACCCTGAGGACACAGTGACACTGAGTGTTTTTATGCTTGTGGATGTTTTTTAGGTTTCTTTTTTTCATTTGAACAAGAAGGGACAGTAAATACAAGAGAGAGAGAGAGAGAGAGAGAGAGAGAGGATGTGCAGGGAAAGTAAAAAAGCCAAGAAAGTGCTTGTACAAAGTACTTTGTCACAAGGAAAAATAAAATCATTAAAATTAATTAAATACAAAGCAAACAGACAAAATACAAAATCACAAAAAATCCAAACACATAGTTCTGTGTTTTACGTTCTGGTTGGTAGAGAAAACAGATGAGTTTTAATCTGTTTTTTGGATAATTTATTAGCAATAAACCAGTGATTAATATTTGATTTGATTATTCTGAATACGTAGATGAGATTAGTTTATGACCATCGTTACTAGATAGGAGAACATTGGCGTCATCAGCAAACGAAATGAAGAATACATCCTTTGCTGCCAAGTTCTAGTGCCAAGATCATTAACAAACATTTAAAACATTAGGAGTCCCAGTATTGACCCTTAAGGAATTCCACAATCTATGTTCTTTAGACTGGAGTGAGAATGGCTGTTATTTTCTCTCGGCAGGTTTCCTATGTGAATTGCTGAAATGCCGCAGTCCTGTGGGTTCCTGGTGTCAGGTGATGAAGGACGGAGGAGTTTTAGTGCCAAAGTGTGTGTGTCCTACAACCTGTCCACGGTCAGACCACTGCACCACACACACACATTAAAAACAAACATGCATTAATAAATAAACACTCATTAATAAATATAAAATAAAACACTAGCACAAACATTATATTAAACCAAAAAAGTAATACAATAAGAACAGACAGTGTGGGTGTGTGCAGGCAGGGGGCGCCAGTGTGCAGTGTTCTGGGAAAGACCTACAGTAACGAGTGTCTCCTTCACAAAGAGGCCTGCCGCAAAAAACGCCGCATTGGAAAATCCCACAGCGGGACGTGTTTAGGTAAAAGTTTGAGTTACGATGTTTCTTAGAGTCTTCAGATGTTCAGAAATGACTCTGTTTCAGACTAAATAATTAATTTGTTGAGATTAATGCAGGTTTAGATATTCAGGCTGTGATTAATCCAGGATTACATACTCAGACTGTGATTAATCCAGGTTTAGATATTCAGGCTGTGATTAATCCAGATTTAGATAATGTGACTGTGATTAATCCAGTTTTGAATAATGAGACTGTGATTAATCAAGGTTTAAATACTCAGACTGTGATTAATCCAGGTTTAGATGTTCAGACTGTGATTAATCCAGGTTTAGACGTGCAGACTGCCATTAATCCATGTTTAGATGTGCAGACTGTCATTAATCCAGGTTTAGATGTTCAGACTGAGATTAATCCAGGATTAAATACTCAGACTGTAATTAATCCAAGTTCAGATACTCAGACTGTGATTAATCCAGGTTTGGATATTCAGACTGTGATTTATCTAGGAATAAATACTCAGACTGTGATTAATCCAATTTTAGATATTCAGGCTGTGATTAATCCAGGGTTAGATACTTAGACTGTCATTAATCCAGGCTTAGATACTCAGACTGTGATTAATCCAGGTTTAAATATTCAGACTGTGATTAATCCAAGATTAAATACTCAGACTGTGATTAAACCAGCTTTAGATACTGAGGATGTGACTAATCTAGATTTAGATACTCAGGCTATGATTAATCTAGGAATAAATACTCAGACTGTGGTTAATCCAGTTTTAGATATTCAGGCTGTGATTAATCCAGGTTTAGATATTCAGATTGTGATTAATCCAGGATTAAATACTCAGACTGTGATTAATCCAGGTTTAGATACTCAGGCTGTGATTAATCCAGGTTTAGATATTCAGATTGTGATTAATCCAGGATTAAATACTCAGACTGTGATTAATCCAGGTTTAGATACTCAGACTGTGATTAATCCAGGATGAAATACTCAGACTGTGATTAATACAGGTTTAGATATTCAGACTGTGATTAGTCCAGGTTTAAATATTCAGACTGTAATTAATCCAGGCTTAGATACTCAGACTATGATTAGTCCAGGTTTAAATATTCAGACTGTGATTAATCCAGGTTTAGATCATGAGACTATGATTAATCCAGGTTTGGATCATGAGACTGATTAATCCAGGTTTAGATGTTCAGACTGTGATTAATCCAGGTTTAGATCATGAGACTATGATTAATCCAGTTTTAGATAATGAGACTGATTAATCCAGGTTTAGATGTTCCTACTGTGATTAATCCAGCTTTAGATAATGAAACTGTGATTAGTCCAGGTTTAGATAACGAGACTTTGATTAGTCCAGGTTTAGATGTTCCTACTATGATTAATCCAGCTTTAGATAATGAAACTGTGATTAGTCCAGGTTTAGATAACGAGACTTTGATTAGTCCAGGTTTAGATGTTCCTACTGTGATTAATCCAGCTTTAGATAATGAAACTGTGATTAATCCAGGTTTAGATGCACTATATGGCCGAATGTTTGTGGACACCTGCTCATCCAATGTTTCTTCCAAAATCAAGAGTACTAGAAAGTTGTTTGTCCCCCTTCATTGCAGTAACACCCTCCACTCTTCTGGGAAGGCTTTACACTAGATGTTGCTATGAGGATTTGATTGAGCATTAGTGGGGTCAAGTACTGATGTTGGATGGTCAGTTCTGGGTCACTTTAACTCATCTCAAAGATATTGCATGGAGCTCCGTCACTCCAGAGAACACGGTTCCACTGCTCCACAGCCCAGTGCTGGGGGGCTTTATACCCCTCTAGCCCATGCTGGGCTTTGGACCTACTGACCTTAGGCTCATGTGCAGCTGCTCCAGAGTGTCCCATTCTATTGGTCAGTGCTTTTCTATGGAGATTATACAAGCTGTGTGTGTATTTGAACTCATGTGTCCGCAGTGAGTGACCTGAATTCACTAATAAGAAGGGCTGTCCAGAAAGCTTTGGACATACAGTGTAGTCAGATGGTGATTAACCCAGGTTTGTGTGTGTGTGTGTGTGTGTGGTGCATGTGTGTAGTCTCTGCAGATGTGTGTTCAGAGCAGGAGTTCGGTCAGTTTCCGTTCCGTCTGCTGGACTGGTTCCTGCTGCTGAGCCGAATGGGGGAGAGATACACTGCAGCTCCATCACAGCAGTGTCTCACACACACACACAGAGTGGAGCTCGCAGAGGTAACACACACACACACACACATACATAAACACACACACAGAGTGCAGTTTGCACAGGTAACACACACACAGACACACACACACACACACACAGTGCAGTTTGCACAGGTAACACACACACACACACACACACAGAGTGCAGCTTGCACAGGTAACACACACACATACACACACACACACACACACACACACAGAGTGCAGCTTGCACAGGTAACACAAACACATAGACACACACACACACACACACAGTGCAGTTTGCACAGGTAACACACACACACACACAGAGTGCATCTTGCACAGGTAACACACACACACACATACACACACACACAGTGCAGTTTGCACAGGTAACACACACACATAGACACACACACACACAGAGTGCAGTTTGCACAGGTAACACACACACACACACACACACACCACACACACAGAGTGCAGTTTGCACAGGTAACACAAACACACACACACAGAGTGCAGCTTGCACAGGTAACACAAACACATAGACACACACACACACACACAGAGTGCAGCTTGCACAGGTAACACACACACACACACAGAGTGCAGTTTGCACAGGTAACACACACACACACACAGAGTGCAGTTTGCACAGGTAACACACACACACACACACAGAGTGCAGCTCGCACAGGTAACACACACACATAGACACACACACACACACACACAGAGTGCAGTTTGTACAGGTAACACACACACATACACACACACACACACACACACACACACAGAGTGCAGCTTGCACAGGTAACACACACACACACAGAGTGCGGCTTGCACAGGTAACACACACACATACACACACACACACACACACAGAGTGCAGCTTGCACAGGTAACACACACACATACACACACACACACACACACACACAGAGTGCAGCTTGCACAGGTAACACACACACAGAGTGCAGCTTGCACAGGTAACACACACACATACACACACACACACAGAGTGCAGCTTGCACAGGTAACACACACACATACACACACACACACACAGTGCAGTTTGCACAGGTAACACACACACAGAGTGCAGCTTGCACAGGTAACACACACACAGAGTGCAGCTTGCACAGGTAACACACACACATACACACACACACACACAGAGTGCAGCTTGCACAGGTAACACAAACACATAGACACACACACACACACACAGAGTGCGGCTCGCACAGGTAACACAAACACATAGACACACACACACACACAGAGTGCAGCTCGCACAGGTAGCACACATACACACACAGAAACACACACAAGAAGTCCTGGTAAAGAAGTCCTGGTGGCTGCGTTTGTGTGTTTAGGGTTGATACTCTGCACTGATCTGGTTTCATACAGTGGCTGCTGTCACTGTACGTTTACTGTCTAAGATAACATTTGTAGTTTATCTACACTATAAATAATCTGTTTAGTATAATGCATCGCTTCAATGATTACACCCAATCGCTTACTGAACCGTGATCTGTGCAGCTGAAAGTGTTATTGATGGAGTCCAGCAGAAGTCTGACTCACGAAAACCGTAAAATGAAATTTGCTGAATGGAGAGAAACAGAGGAAATAAATGAGCTGCATTATAAGCTTTCCACATGGCCGGCGTCTGATTCCCTACCTGGGCAGTTCAATAAGGGTCCTTGGGCATGACACCCAACTCTGCATACACCTACATTTCAATTATATTTCATCTATCATTCATCTGCCATTCAGCTGTTATTCAATTTTCATATAATTACCATTTAATTACCAATCTGCCATTTAGGTGCCATTTATCTACCAATTTTCTGTCATTTCTCTGCTGCTGTAACTGCTGAAAACTGGTGTTTAAATCCTGTTCTTCTGTAAACAGTTTACTCAGTTCAGGTCGTCTCAGACAAACCAGCCCAGCGGTACCATCTGCAGTCAATACCCAGAAATCAGCACTCAGAGATTAAATTACTCTCACACTCTCTCAGTGTCTCTTATTAATAGACACAACTGATCATCAATAAACACTGAATTATTTAAACAGGCTAGAAAAGTGATCTCAGTAGTACAGAACTGTCCATCAGACAAAATGACCTTAGACCACTTCATATCTCTCTCTCTCTCTCTCTCTCTCTCTCTCTCTCTCTCCCTCCCTCTCTCTCTCCCTCTCTCCCTCTCTCTCTCTCTCTCTCTCTCTCTCTCCCTCTCTCTCCCTCTCTCCCTCTCTGTCTCTCTCTCTCTCTCTGTCTCTCTCTCTCCCTCACTGTCTCTCTCTCTCTCTCTCTCTCTCTCTCTCTCTCTCTCTCTCTCTCTCTCTCTCTCTCTCTCTCTCAGAGGAGGTTTAAGATGCTCGACCGTAACAGGGATGGTAAACTGAGCAGGATGGATCTGAGGAAGCTCCATTATAAGAGGATGCCTCTCGAGCACTGTGCTAACACATTCTTCCAGTGAGACACACACACACACACACACACACACACACACACACACACACGCACTCAGACACACTACACATGCTGTGCTCCTCCTCCTGACTGACCTTCTCCTGTGTGTGACAGTGAGAATCTCCCCAATATTACCATAATTACACTATAAACATCCCGAGGACTCTCTCTCTTCATTACCTCTCTCTATCTCTTTCTCTCTCTTTCTCTCTCTCTCTCTCCTTTCATTCTCTTCTATCTACTGTCTTTACTTATCCATTTTTCATCACTTTCTCCCTCATCTGCTCACTCTATCCTCTCTATAAAGTCTTCCTTTTATCTTTATGCCTCCTTTTCCACTATCTGTCTCTCTCTCCACTATCTCTGTATCTCCCCTCTATTTTCTCTCTTTACGTATCTATCTATGTATATATGTATGTATATCTATCTGTCTATCTATCTATCTATATCTATCTATCTATCTATCTATCCCCTTTTTTCTCTCTCTCTCCTACTCACTCCACCCTTTATTTCTCCTCTCTCTCTCTCTCTCTCTCTCCCACTCTATTCTCTCTCTTCTCAATGTCAGTGTTAATGTTTATTGCCTCCTGCTGTTTAAATGAGGCTGGTGTCCTTTCTCATCCCTGACTCCCCCTCACACATGGACACACACTACTACACACTCACTAACACACACTTATACACACTCACTAATACACACTCACTAATACACACACTAACTAATACACACACATCCATACATGCTCACTAATACACACTCATTAACATACACACACTACTACAGACTCACTAACACACACACACACACACACACACACACAATACTACTACTACACACTCACTAACATACACTCACTAATACACACTAATGCAGACTAAAACACTCACTGATACCCACTGGAACAGACACTGGGATAAGAGAAGGGACTAACACTGCGGGTGGGAGGAGATGGGACTGACACTGTGGGAGGAGATGGAACTGACACTGGGACAGGAGACGGGACTGACGCTGGGACATGGTGATGGGACTGACGCTGGGACACGGTGATGGGAACAACGCTGGGACAGGAGACGGGACTGACGCTGGGACATGGTGACGGGACTGATGCTGGGACACGGTGATGGGAACAACGCTGGGACAGGAGACGGGACTGGCGCTGGGACAGAAGATGGGACTGACAGTAATTTTCTGTACATGTAGACTGTATGTAAACTGATTTGGAAGTTTTCTATCTGTTTTTTGTGCAGGTCATGTGACAGGAACAGGAATAAGAAGGTCAGTCTGAGGGAGTGGACATCATGCTTGGTGAATCGCTCAGAACGCTGGTTCCAGGGTTTCATGTGTAAGTGAACATCTATTTTACTTTCTGCTACATCTGTATTTCATCATCTTCAACATCTTTCACTCTCTTCCTCACAGCGGTGAAAATGGGATCTCCGAAACTGTGTCCAGCTCCAGAAAACCAGCTTTAACTCCACGTTCTTCATCAATAACTCCAGCTTAAAATCCACATTCTTCATAAAGAGAGCAAGATTTAACTTGTTCATAAAGAAATCAGGACCAACAAGAAGCTAAAATATATATTTTTTACTTTCATTTACTGTAATGTACTGTTGCTGGTTATTTGTACTGACATATAAAGTAATTAAGTTTTGTATTAATTAACACTAACCCTATTGTATATTGACCAATAAAAGCTAAAGCTAAAACCTTTTTAACTTTGTCAACATGAAATCTAAACAGACCTTTTTTATCATGTTAGTTTGAGTTCACGAGTCATCAAATCAAGTAATTTAAATTTTTCCTAACCGGCTCCTGGAGGCCCGCTGCTCTGCAAACCTCAGAGCTTCTCACACATCTGGTTCACCTAATCAGCTCTGTTACATTACATTTTTTTACAGCACTTAGCAGACACTCTTATCCAGAGCGACTTACAAGTTGATCATTTTACACAGGTAGGTGAAGGTTGTGTTAGGAGTCTTGCCCAAGGACTCTTATTGGTATAGTGTAGGGTGCTGACCTGGGCAGGGATTGAACCCCAGTCTACAGTGTAGAAGGCAGAAATATTACCCACTACACTATACACTATAAGAACTCCTCCCTGAGAGCAGCAAGCTTCAGAAACCGGGCTTCAGAAACCGGGCTTCAGAAACCGGGCTTCAGAAACCGGGATTCAAGAACCAGGCTTCAGAAACAGGGACTGAGGAACCGGGATTCAGGAACCAGGATTCAGGAACCAGGCTTCAAAAACAGGGATTCAGGAACGAGGATTCAGAAATCGGAATTCAGGAACCAGGCTTCAAAAACAGGGATTCAGGAACCGGGATTCAGGAACCAGGCTTCAAAAACAGGGATTCAGGAACCGGGATTCAGGAACCAGGCTTCAAAAACAGGGATTCAGGAACCGGGACTCAGGAACCGGGATTCAGGAACCAGGCTTCAAAAACAGGGATTCGGGAACCGGGATTCAGGAACTGGGATTCAGGAACCAGGCTTCAAAAACGGGGATTCAGGAACCGGGATTCAGAAACCGGAATTCAGGAACCAGGCCGGAAACACTGATTTAAAGGTTGACATTGCTTCGATCAAAATATAATGGCTTTAGCCCCGCCTCTAAAATGTCCTCTGATTTTTTGATGATGTCACCATGCACCAGTGGGCAGGGCAAAAGACCATTAACTAGTTATATGAGCCTCTCCCCACAACACACACACACATCTAACATGAAGAGAAAACACTGAGCTGGTTCAGCTGGTTCTGATACTGAGTCGCTCATTAATACAGAACAGAAAGAGAATCAGTTCAGATTTAACACTCAGTTTAACACAGAGACGTGAACAGGGAGCTGACCTGCTATTCCAACACTGAAATCACTGTTAAGTTATCTGTTGCATTTTATTACAGGCAGATGCAGAAAGTGTAGTTCGGGTTTCGCTCGTATCTGCGAGTGTGTTTATTATACTGTACATATAATACAATGTCACATCATCCGCTGCAGAGAAAAGACCTCATGCAGAAAACAACGAGTCCTCATCAGTATCCAGCACTGTCCCGGTTAGCATTAGCTCATTATCTCATCAGAAAATGCGTCTCATCCACCACGCTTTGTTTCTTCCTTCTGTGCAGATAAACGAGTATCTGCTCATTAACATTTACTTAAATACCAAAGTCAGAATCCTCAGTTTAAAACGGCTGATCTTATGATTTCTTCCTATTGCAGTTATTGAGTTAATTGTCATGTTAATTGTATAAAGTACAAATTGAGTTTAATATGTTTCTAAACATTTGCTGCGTGTGTGTGTGTGCGTGTGTGTGTGTGTGTGTGTGTGTGTGTGTGTGTGTGTGTGTGTGTGTGTGTGTGTGTTTGAGGCACCGAAGCCTTCTTACTGAAATAGAGAAGAAATGTATCATTCATCACACAACCAATTACTGCAATATGGGACGTGGGGGCAGAACAGAGACAGAAGGATGGAGGGATTGGAGGAAAAATTGAAGGAGAGATTGAAGAAGAGATTGGGTAATAACCTTAAATGGCAGGACGTAAAGCAGACAAATAGTGGGATGGGGTTTAATAGAGGAGAGACGGGTGTCCTATAGAAAAGATTAAAGAGTGCGTGATCAGAGAAGAGAGGAACGGATAATATGAGAGAGAGAGAGAGAGAGAGAGAGAGAGAGAGAGAGAGAGTTACATCCAGAGGAAGGGAAGAGGGATATGTTACAGTAAAGTGATGGAATGGCAAGAGAGAAAATAGATTGATGCCTGAGAAATGGATGAGAATAGAGGGGGAAGGGTGTCAGCAGGAGAGAAGGAGGTGTGAAACAGAGAGAGGAGTGATGGGGGATCATGGGGAAGGAGAGAAAACAAAAACTGTGTAGTCAAGAAAAATTCATAATTTATTTAACAAATAAAATAAATTCTCTTTATATCAACAGAAATGTTAAAATATATGAGACTCTGTGACTGTAATTGTACAAAGACGTGCAGTGAATAAAACAAACAGCAGATTGTAAACAAGACGTGCATTTAATTATTTGAGCAGCTGCAATATAAATAACAGCCATACACATAACATATAACACATAAATGAGCAGCAGTTATGAACAGCTGTAATGGTGGCAGACGGAAACAGACGCTCGCAGACGAGGCTGCAGTTAAGATCTTTAATAACAAAAGGATGATCCAAAACTACAGTCAAAAACCAGAGTTCCACAACAAGACAGAAGGGCAAAAATCAAGGTCAAGACAGAAAAACAGGTCCTTGATGGGAGTTGATAACCAGGCAGGGAGAGAACGCTCGGTTCGCTCATAGTGAGACGATACTTCACAACAAACTAAACTAAAGCCAGGGTTTATATACTAAACTAAGGCATAAAGCAAACCAAAGGCATGTAATGAGGAACAGGTGTAAGTGTGATTAGAAGCCCGGAGAAGATGATCGCTGAAAGGTTGGTCTGATTGAGTCCTGAGTCACGTGAGGCAGCGAGAGATTCTGGGAATTGTAGTCTGAAGTGGTAGCGTTGGCTATAGTTCCAGTCGTGCCGGAGCGAGATGTGACAACAGTACAGCGTTTTTGTGGTGGTTAAATTCCAATAATCCAACCAAGGACCGAACTGAGTAAACAGTAAATACACACTCACTAATACACACACTCACTAATACACACACTCACTAATACACACTCCCTGTTATACACGCATTAATATACATATACTCACTAATATACACACTCAGTAGTACGCACACTCAGTAATACACTCACTAATATACACTTACTAATATGCACACTCACTAATACGCACACTCACTTATACACACACTCAGTAATAAACACTCACTAATATACACACTCACTAATACACACACTCACTAATACACACTCACTAATACACACTCACTAATACACACACTCACTAATACACACACTCAGTAATAAACACTCACTAATACACACACTCACTAATACACACTCATTAATACACACTCACTAATACACACTCACTAATATACACACTCACTAATACACACTCACTGATATGCACACTCACTAATATACATACACTTACTAATATACACACTCACTAATACACACTCCCTGATATACACGCATTAATATACATATACTCACTAATATACACACTCAGTAGTACGCACACTCAGTAATACACACACTCAGTAATACACTCACTAATATACACTTACTAATATGCACACTCACTAATACGTACACTCACTTATACACACACTCAGTAATAAACACTCACTAATATACACACTCACTAATACACACACTCACTAATACACACTCACTAATACACACTCGCTAATATACACACTCACTAATACACACTCACTGATATACACACATTAATATACATACACTCACTAGTACACACACACTAATACACACTCACCAATATACACACTCACTAATACACACTCACTAATACACACACTCACTTATACACACACTCAGTAATAAACACTCACTAATACACACTCACTAATACACACTCACTGATATGCACACTCACTAATATACATACACTCACTAATATACACACTCACTAATATACACTCACTAATATATGCACTCACTAATATACACTCACTAATATACACACTCACTAATACACACTCACTAATATACACACTCACTAATATACACTCACTAATATACACACTCATTAATACACACATTCACTGATATGCACATCACTAATATACTACACACATACACTCACTAATATACACTCACTAATATATGCACTCACTAGTACACACACACTAATACACACTCACTATACACACTCACTAATATACACACTCACTAATACTGACTAATATACACTCACTAATATATGCACTCACTAATATACACTCACTAATATACACACTCACTAATACACACTCACTAATATACACACTCACTAATATACACTCACTAATATACACACTCACTAATATACACACTCACTAATATACACTCACTAATATATGCACTCACTAATATACACTCACTAATATACACACTCACTAATACACACTCACTAATATACACACTCACTAATACACACTCACTAATACACCCACATTGACACATATCTGCTAACAAACTGATACAGCAATTAAGTTTTTCTAAGTTGAAAATTTTAAACTAAATATATTGATGTTAATAAATAATATTTTTAAATATTAGCATGTGTTAGTGTGTATTAGTGTGTTTTGTGTGTATTAGTGTGTGCTGTGTGTATTGAGGTTTATTTGCTTGTGTTAGTATTGTGGTGTGTGAGTGTTCTGTTTAGTTTAAAATAACAGGGTTATGGTTGAGAAAATGCTTTTTCATATTCATTCCAGATTTTTTAGTTCTGCTGCGTTAATTCACCGGGTTCATTCTGGACTTGTTTATTATTGTGTATTTGTGTTTATTATTGTGTATTAATGTATGTTTGTGTTTCTTATTATGAATTATTAAAACCATTTGCAAATCATCTGATTCTGTTGATCCCAAAATCTAAAATCTGTCAGTGTTTTGGATGAGATGCACCAGTTAAAGCTAAAACTGTCATGCTGACAAAAGGCACTGTGGAGGAATGTTACTGCAGTTCAACTCCAGAAGACAGAATGTAGGAAGGCTGAACGCAAATGGCGTAAAACCATCAGATCCACAAAGAAATCCTCAAAGATCAGCTGCGTGATT